ATTTAGATATTGTTGGCAATCTGATTATTTTATAGTAGTAATACACTATGAAAGAATAAGGTGATTATTTATCTAGTATGTTAGAAAGTCTTTTTCAAAAACTTCAACTTATATAGTGCTGAAGTTTTTACAAATGAACTAAATAACTTCAGCATCTTCTGCTGAAGTTTTTGAAAAAGCTTTATGACAAAACTAATGAATCCAGGACAAAAAATCTTCAGCTTATATAGTGCTGAAGTTTTTACAAATGAACTAAATAACTTCAGCATTTTCTGCTGAAGTTTTTGTAAAAGCTTATCCAGGACAAAAAAAATAAATTCAGCTTATTTGGTGCTGAAGTTTTTACAAATGAACTAAATAACATCAGCATCTTCTGCTGAAGTTTTTGAAAAAGTTTTATGACAAAACTAATGAATCCAGGACAAGAAAAACTTCAGCTATTTTAGTGCTGAAGTTTTTACAAATGAACTAAATAACTTCAGCATCTTCTGCTGAAGTTTTTGAAAAAGTTTTATGACAAAACTAATGAATCCAGGACAAGAAAAACTTCAGCTATTTTAGTGCTGAAGTTTTTACAAATGAACTAAATAACTTCAGCATTTTCTGCTGAAGTTTTTCAAAAAGTTTTATGACAAAATTAATGAATCCAGGACAAAAAAACTTCAGCTATTTTAGTACTGAAGTTTTTACAAATGAGCTAAATAACTTCAGCATCTTCTGCTGAAGTTTTTGAAAATTTTTATGACAAAACTAATGAATCCAGGTCAAAAAAACTTCAGCTATTTAGTGCTGAAGTTTTTACAAATAAACTATATAACTTCAGCATCTTATCCAGGACAAAAAAACTCAGCGTATTGCCTTTGCTACTTCAGGCCCGTCTACTAGAATGTTAAAGTTTTGCGTGATTGCCTTTGCTACTTCAGCCCCGTATGCTGAAGTTACGCGAAAAAGTGGGTACGCTTGTAATTTTTTTTGCAAAGCGGGCACAAGTTAAAACATGACCCAAAAAAGGGTATAGATGCAAATCACCCGTACCTAAAGTACTTTGCATCCAACTACTATTCGTTAGGTTTCGAACCAGATAAAAAGAAATACAAAATTTTGAGGATTACACATTCTCGGTATAGACCCACACGATATTGGGTTTTCACTCTAGGCTCAGATGAATCATGGAGAAGGATTAAAGGTGCGCCCTCTTTTTTCTTCGCTAGTGTTGGGAGGAGTATTGATGGAGCTATGTATATCATCGGTTTTTACAGCGATCAAGAATGCATTAAGAATACTTTGGAAGGTGAAATAATCTTAGTAGAATTTAATGTTAGAACCAAAAATTTCATAATGATCTCGCTGCGGAAAGATCAAGATGTTTACCTCGAAAATACGAGTAACAAATTAAATTTGATTTGTGATTTTAAAGATATGATTTAGTTCAATACCAATTAATAATCAAGAAGTATAAAGTATAGATGAAAGAAATGAATAAATCAAACCCTTGTTATTAGACAATATCGACCTCGATCTCAGTGACCTCGAGATGAATCAAGAGCAATAAAGCAAGAACAGTAAAGTTAAAGGACAATTTTGACGAACAATGAGTGAAAAGTAGAGAGTATATTATTTGCCAATGATTAGATGATGCTTACGAAATGATTGGGGTCCCCTTTATATAATAGGGGAGCTCTAAATAAGGTACATTTCCATTTAGAGTAAGGAATCTCATTGGGATAGCTGTCTAACCGCCTAGTACGGAATCGTACAATTCTGTTCCGTGATTTGTGCCATGATTTAGGGGCGTGGCAGGAATCTCACACATTCTGTTACAAATTCATAACGATATTATTTCGGGGTTGAGCATACTCGGCTTCGATACTCATCATATTTCGATCCTCGGGCATTGCACTTTGCCTTCGAGCTCGAGTCTGGTCCATCGAGCTCGAACTCGACCTTGCCTGAACTCGGGCTTAAGACGACCCCTCGAGCCTGGGAAATTGATCATACCTGATTTCGTTCGTATACAGATAGTCCTCGCGTTTCTTAGAGTAAGA